AAGATTGTGTTTTTTTATTCTTCATATAAATGATTTATTATTAGGCTTCTTATATAAAAATATAGAAATATATGATTTGTATCTGATATCTGTATATAGTTCAATATAGTTTTCAATTATTAAAATTCTAGTTTGATTTTTCTTAAAAAAAAAAAAAAAAGTTTGATTGGTGCAAGAATTTTACTTTTACTCGAAAATTCAATTCCTATGCATGAGAACTCAACCTTTACTTTCCCGTTACTAAGAAAATTGGATTCATGTAGAAATTGAGATATTTTTAAAAATATAATTACGTACATTAATACCTTTAATTACAAAAAATATTTAGATAAATATTATATTTTACATACTATTATTTAGTATACTCAAAATTATTATTTACAATCGGAATCATATATATTGATTCATTTATATATGGTATCATTGTGGATTAAGTAAATAAAAAATATTTAAATTAAGAATAATGATGTAATCTATCATATTTTTTCAGCTTTCCCTGAAGTTTAACTAAACACAATTATTTTATTTTTTAAAAAGTTTTTATGATTATCCAAATAAAACTATTCAACATTTATATAATTACTTTCTTCAAAATCTGCATTCTTAGAGGAAAATAATTTTCTATATGAATATTGAATTCCAACGACTAAGCGCACCAAAGGTTAAAGTTGTAATTTTGGTTATTTTAAATCACTTCAATTTTATCAATAAAATCAAAACATTTTAATTTAATTCGATTCAATTACTACATTTTTAAACTGTTTTAATTCAATTCGGTTCAGTTCAATTGAATTAAATACTCACCTATAGTTATTAGAGTGTGAAAATATATTTATTTCTTTTTTTACTAGAGTATTTTCGAATCAATCTACATGTATTTAAATAAAATATATTTTTTCAATGGTTTTAAAAATGAAGACGTTCACATTAGTAACTTAACACATTGTTAAAAAGAAAGAAAAATAAGTATTCTAATGTTTATAATTGAAAACATTACCATCGTACGAACATTTCCACAGCATAAAAAATAAAGCACCTTTTGGATTTGTCAAACTTGTGTTGTGCTTTTGCGGCTACACTACCCTTACCCTGTGATTGAATTGTTATATTATAATTAACCTTGTGATTCATTTTTGTTTGCTTTGGAATAGTGTCTTTTTGAAATATGCAATTTTGGTATAAGATGCCTGATTTGCCTTCTATTTTATATGCAGTGAAAATAAAATGTCTAAATTTAAATTATATTTCAAATGTAAACTTTAAAATTCACATACATGTGACCTTGGAGAATGTGGTTAGAAATCCATAATAGAGTCGCTATGTCAGAATATCTTATCTGTCTCTCCATAAAATAGATATCTCCAGAAAAAAAATTTTATGTTTCGCAATAACTGTATCAAATAAAAATTTAAAAATTTTTATTCGATTTTCTAAATCTATTTTTTTTTTAAATTTCATTTATTCAATGACAGAATTAGACGAGGATATATAGCTCCGAGGCCATAGTGAATAGGATCTTCATCGGACAAATGTAGCGCTTTAGCTAGTACACAAAAATGACATGCCGCAAATCCTTTTAACACAGAAGAGTGCCTGCGGGATAAATGAAAATATAAAATTATAAATAATTCCAAGTACTTGACAATTTAACAAAAAAAAAAAAAAAAAGTTAGGTCAGATTCTGTATCTGTCCTCCATAAAATAGATATTCGTCCAGAAAAAATTTCTTATGTTTCGCAAGATAACTGTATCAAATAAAAATTTTAAAAATATTTTTTATTTCACGATTTTACTAAATTCTATTTATATTTTTTTAAATTTCATTTATTTCAATGATCAGGAATTAGACGAGGATATATAGGTCCTTCGAGGCCCATAGTGAATAGGCCATTTTCGTTCATCGGAACCCAAATGTAGCGCTTTAGCTAGTTACCACAAAAATGACATGCCCGCAAATCCTTTAACACAGAAGAGTGCCTGCGGGATATAAATGAAAATAGAAATATTATAAGTAGATTCCACAGTACGATGGACAACTTTTAGTACAAAAAAAAAAAAAAAAGCGACTGAAATGTTCCAAAAGAAACATCGTCTTCTTTAGTTTTTTTTTTTAAATTATATATTTTATTTATTGATTGTCAACTGTTTTCTTGAAGGTTTTTATTAATTAATTTCTATCGTCTTCCTTTATTATTTAGTTTTCCTTTTTAACAATTTTTCTAAACCGATGATACATTCGCGAACCAAAACTTTTGAATTCAGCTTCAAATCTATAATGACGCAGTTGTTCTTTGTTATTGAGGGAGAAAAAAAAAAAAAAAAAAAAAGCGCATGTTCAAAAGAAAATGTCTTCTTGTTTTTTTTTTAATTATTTATATTTTATTTAATTGATTGTCAACTGTTTTCTGAAGGTTTTTATTAATTAATTTCTATCGTCTTCCTTTATTTTATTTAGTTTTCTTTTTAACAATTTCTAAACCTATGATCATTTCGAACAAAACTTGAATTCAGTCTCAAATCTATAATGGACGAGTTGTTCTTTGTTATTGAGGAGATATTTTATTTGTCTGGCAATTCAAAATACAAAATGAATTGATGGTTGGAATTCTTCAAGTTCAATTTCATTTTAAAAATATTTAACTTTTTTTATTATTGAGAGAAGAGAATTTAAATTTGGATCTATTATAAGTTGTAAAGTTATATATGCACTTACTATAGGCTATATGCCTTAATGCACTAATTTAATTTTCAATTTGATTCGATTTTTATTTAAATTTTAAAAATAACCTAATTAGGCCTTAAAATAAATCAAAATAAATTAAATTGGATTAAATCATTCAATTCAATTTTATGTTTTTAATTAAATTTGATTTAAGTATTAGAAAATTTTGATTGGTTCAATTTTGTACGCTCATACTGTGATCTACAATAGTTTTTATTAAAAAGCTAACTTTGAACTATAACTTGTTTTTGCTCGACATAAAGTGGTCTGATCTTGATTCAAGCTCAAACTAAGACAAATTGCTCAAACAATTGGAAATCCAATAATGGTGAGCAAACGTATTTCTTGTTTTTTTTGTTAAGCCCAAGTTATTCTTTTCTTTTTCTTTTTTTCTTTTTTTAGAATGGATTCTTGAACAACTCAAACCTCGCATGTCTCTACCACCCATACGGTATTTGGCTTGTTTTTAGGAAAAATTATCTAGACCGGATTCATAATTCCACTTATAGATCCAACCAATGAAATTAATGATTTTTATTGAAATGAGAGTATCTCTAACCATGCATTTAGAAAAAAAAAAAAGGATAAGAGTATTTCTAACTATACACTTAGAAACAAAGAATAAAGATTCATTTATTTAGTTTAGAAACAGAGAAATAGAGTCCTTCCAAACAAGTATTTTCTTTTATCTTTTAAGGATACGGTAGTTGTGTTTCTCAATGTCTCAAACATGGATATGATAGCCATATATATATATTTAAGGATAACACATATTTACACATGGTGTATGAAGGGAAGCATATATTAAACCAATTTAATAAAAATACATAGGAAATATATGAGAGCATTGCCGATTATTTACCTAGAAAAAAAAAATCCTAAAAGATAAAAATATTCAAAATAACCATCAGATAATTAGCTTTATATGTGTAGATTTTTTTATACATGTGTCAATTAACGAAGATTCTGTATCAAACAGAATAATTACTATCTGGACAGTAATAAAAGATAGTAAAAACTCATACATAATGGGTCTATACATCGAATATAGACAAATAAATTTCTATATTTAAAATCCTTCCAAAATGCTAATTTCAGGACAAAATGTTGCGATCATAGTCATAAGAATATTTAATGACAATATAGAAACAAAAACACTGGGAGGATGTGGCCGACATGATAAAGGAGAAGGGGAGGAGACGGTTGACTTAAACTCTTATTTAATTTATTTAATGTATCCTTTTTCCAGACTGTGAGATCACAAATAATCAATGCAAAATCTTAATTAAGTTATTGTTTGGTTGTCTTCAATTATTCTTTTAGTATTATTTTATATCAAATAATCACATCACGTTCTTTGTTAGCAAAAGTCCAAACAGACCTTATAAGATTAGGAGCAATTGATAGTTTCATATATTAAATTTAAGTAAATGATCCAAGTTGTCCTTCTATTAGGCCATGCTAGACTCATTAATTTAATTTTTAAATATTATTCTTTAAAAAAAAGAAAAAATATTATTCTTTCATCTTTTGAAATAATAAAATTTAATTTTTAATTAATATATATTTTTGAATAGTTAATATGGATAAAATTGTAAATTAGTAATAATACTATTTTCTTTCCTCCTCCTATTTTCCTTTGCATACAAACATATGGTAGAAAAAAAAAAGAGGAAAAATAAATTGTAGAATCATTTTTTATTTTCCTCTTTTATCTTATTTAATTTTAGTTATGATTTTAGATAATTTCAATTTGATAAAATAAAAATAAATAAAAATATACTCAAAAATAAAAAAACTCAATTAAAACGACGGATCAGACAGTGGATTATACATTAAAATATACTCAAAAATAAAATCATTTTTTATTTTCCTCTTTTATCTTATTTAATTTTAGTTATGATTTTAGATAATTTCAATTTGATAAAATAAAAATAAATTAAAATATACTCAAAAATAAAAAAACTCAATTAAAACGACGGATCAGACAGTGGATTATACATTAAAGCAATTTGATTTTTGAACTTTAAATTAATTGAATTTTTATAATTATTATACATTTTTATCTAAACATAAGAACTAATAAAATAAAGCATATAATCCATGTCTAAATCCTCTCAATTAATACTAAAAACAAAAATAATAATCAAACAAAATCCAAATTCAAATATAAGAAGCCAAAATTCAAGAGTGGAACTTGAATTTGTTTTATTTACAAGTCAAGGAATATATCATCATTAAATTAAATGCAAAAATATTAGTCTATAATTGTAGAATCAATAAAGTTGAATAGCAAGTTCAATTGTTTCGTCAACAAAAGTTTTTAATCCATTGATGATGATAAATTCAGAGTTTTGGGAATGAAAAAACAAATAAGAAAGCTTCAAATAAGGGTTGATTTCATGGACTTTTTATCCGTAATCACTGACTTTCTTACCTGGATAAATTGGGTTCCTCCATTATTTTAATCCTTTGTCTGTTCTAACCAAATTAGTCCTACTAGAATTGGCATGGCTCTGTTGTCGCTATACAGTTGCCCAGAAGAAAAGATTTCTTGGTTGACCTGTTTATGCACACTATCTGTTCGTTTTTTTATCCCAACCAAGTAGATGTGTTTACTTTTGTCTTTGGATTACTGATTCGCTTTTCTTTTTTTGGTTTCTTACCAGTCTTTCTTCAATGGGGTGGTTATGACTGAAGTTAATAGAATATAGGTGCAATGAACATTGCTTAGTGTGCTGGTTCATGAAGCAAGCAAGCGCCAATCATGCTACAATAAATATAACCCATGTTTTCGTCAGAGCGGCATTAAAATATTTAGTGTGTAAAGAACTGGTGGCAATTGTCTTTAGCAGATGGGTTTAGACTATAAGTGAATGATTGTTAACATATAAGAAGAAATGGTTGTCAACTGATTAAATAAACCCTACCTTAGTTTTGATCCAAAATGGGAATTTTTAAATGTTAATATTTTAGCTGATGCTATCACCAGGTAAACGGTTAGCTCTACAATCGTCATTAATCAGGTTTATTCAGTTTGGAGAGAGAGAAGTCAACGGAAAACCAAGAATCAGAATTGGAGAAAAAAGAAATGAAGGAAGCCCAAGCAGACCAATTCCAACCCCACCAAAACTACTACTACAAGGTTGCAACTATTCTCTTCTCTGCCTGTCATTCAACAAATCCTCCACATGAAAACTTCCCTCTTATTATTGTTCATTACTTTCTTGTTCTATTCTCTTGTCTCAGGTTCTTCCTTCACTGAACTCATTTTTCCGAATTTCACAGCTTCAAACTATCAATTCATCGACAACAAAGGCGCTTTCTTGTTCTCTCGTAATGGAACATTCAAAGTTGGTATCTTCAATCCCGGAGAACAGGCTAACTTTTACTTGGGCGTTATGCATGTTGCTTCCAACACTATCATATGGTCAGCTAATCGTGATGCTCCTATCTCGGGTTCAGGTGAAATGGTCCTTACCGGCAAAGGAATTAGCATTGCTGATCAAGATGGCGATCCTAAATGGTCAACTCCGCCATTGAGATCTTCGGTTTATGCATTACTGCTAACTGAGATGGGTAATCTTGTTTTACTCGACAAATTTAATAGTTCTCTTTGGGAGAGCTTCCACAATCCAACAGATACAATAGTCATTGGACAACACTTGCCAAAAGGAACAACGCTGTCCAACGCTGTATCAAATGGTGACCTATCAACTGGAGATTACGGGCTTGCTGTCACTGATTCTGATGCAATATTGCAGTGGCAAGGACAGACATATTGGAAATTGTCGATGGAAACCATGTCTTATACAAACTCTAACTCTATTGTGGAATATATGGCAATAAACAGAACTGGTCTTTTTCTGTTTGGTAGAAATGGATCCGTTATTGTTATTCTGATGAGTTTGTCACCATCTGACTTCCGAATTGCCCAGTTGAGTGCTTCTGGCCAGTTTATAATCAAACACTTCTCCGGTAGTCAATGGGAACAGGATTTCACAGGGCCAATTGACACTTGTCGAATTCCACTTATCTGCGGCAGGATTCGGTTATGTGTTGATACTATGTCTAACAGGCCAACTTGTTCGTGTCCTCCAGGTTTCCTTCAGACACAAAATTCAAGTGGTTGCGTGCCAAGCCAAGGTTATTCTTTGCCGCATGCTTGTAATTCAAGCCAAAATGTCAACGACTCTAGTTCATCTGTTGTTTCCTATTTGAGGCTTGGATACGGTATGGATTACTTTTCAATTGATTTCTCCGAGCCTACAAAATATGGTGTAAATTTGTCACTCTGCCAAGATTTCTGCACAGCAGACTGTTCTTGCTTGGGAATTTTTTATAAAAATTCTTCTGGATCTTGCTATACACTTGAAAATGCATTAGGTTCCATCACATCAAGCACGACTGATGAAGATGATATGTTGGGATACATTAAAGTTACAGCTGAAGCACCTCGAGATGACAACACCAATGGTGATCAAAATAAAAAATTTCCTGTAATTGCTCTGGTGCTGTTACCTTTCACCGGGTTCTTCTTTATGGTTGCACTTGGTGTCCTTTGGTGGAGAAGAAGGAAAAATTCCAAGATTAGAGAGAGAAAACTAGGTCATGCAAACTCATTTTCTTCTGATGATCTGGACGCCTTCTTCATCCCAGGCTTACCCCAACGGTTTGACTATGAAGAGCTTGAGGTAGCTACTGATAATTTTAAAACCCATATTGGTTCAGGCGGCTTTGGTTCTGTATACAAAGGCACACTCTCTGATAAATCTGTCGTGGCAGTAAAAAAGATTACCAATTTAGGAGTTCAAGGGAAAAAAGATTTTTGCACTGAAATAGCAGTAATTGGAAATATTCATCATGTCAATCTGGTGAAGTTGAGAGGATTTTGTGCTCAGGGTAGACAGCGCCTTTTAGTTTACGAGTATATGAATCGCGGCTCATTGGACAAGACTCTTTTCGGTTGTGGACCTGTCTTAGAATGGCAAGAAAGGTATGATGTAGCTCTCGGAACTGCTCGGGGACTTGCATACTTGCATAATAGCTGTGAGCAAAAAATTATTCACTGTGATGTCAAACCAGAGAACATTCTTTTGCATGATTATTTTCAGGCTAAGATATCCGATTTTGGTCTCTCAAAGCTCTTAAGCCCTGAACAGTCCAGTTTATTCACTACAATGAGAGGCACTCGCGGATATCTTGCACCCGAATGGCTAACGAACTCAGCAATATCAGAAAAAACCGATGTTTACAGTTTTGGAATGGTACTGCTTGAACTTGTGAGTGGAAGGAAAAATTGCTCGACTCGGTCACAAAGCCATAGCACGAATAACAGTAATAGTGGTGGTGGCCAATCGACATCATCATCCGGTTTAGGACTCGTTTATTTCCCTTTATTTGCATTGGAGATGCATGAGCAAGGAAGGTATTTAGAACTTGCTGATCCAAGGCTCCAAGGGAGAGTGACAAGCGAAGAAGTGGAGAAATTAGTATGCATTGCTCTTTGCTGTGTTCATGAAGATCCTGCATTGAGGCCTAATATGGTTAGTGTTGTTGGAATGTTGGAAGGTGGCGTTCCTTTAGCTCAACCAAGAGTAGAGTCTTTGAATTTCTTGAGATTTTACGGCCGTCGATTTTCTGAAGCTTCAATGGTAGGGGAGGAAAATGGAGAAAGCAATTTCATTTTATTTCCAAGAGGAAATAATTCTACCACAAGCGCGACAAGCGGTTCCCCTGCTCGTTTCTCTTATATCTCCTCACAGGAAGTCTCAGGTCCCAGATAATGTTTAATGGTTCAATTTCTGCTGCTTAATTATGTATAGTGTATTGTGAATGATATAAAACCACAAAATGTATGCAACTGGAATTTGTGCGTATATATCTATATATTGAAATCATTTTTTTTTATATATTTTTTCTTTTAGAAGTTCAAATTGAGTTGATTAGCAAGTGAATAGTTAGATGTTGTATGCACAATATTGCACGTGTAAAGATTGTATTATTTTTCTAAATTACGCTTTAATGTGTTGCTATATCTGCTAATAAAAAGGTCTTGTTGCTTTTGATTTTATAGCCTAAAATGTTCTCACTTAGACTTAGGATATGTTTCGGCAATACAACGTTTGAATTAGCTAGCTTTTAGAGAAATTAAAATAGCATTTTATAAGAAGTTAATTGATTTAACATTCACCTAACAACTAAATGATATTAAAATAATTCGTACCTACTATCGAACAAACCTTTTTTTATTAGCAGATATATCAAAATAATTAATTTGTTTTTTTAGACTGAGTGTATGACTCATTTATCGACTAAATAAATAAAATTAAAAATTTTTTAAAAATATTTTAACTTTTTTTAAATATATGATAAAAATACTATCATTTTAATAAAAATATCGAATTTAATTATTTTGATCGGAACATGCACCGGCCTGGATAAGTGTTTCTCCAATTTAATACGGTTTAAGCATGCGGCAAGTATTTTCTATGCGTAATTAATTTAATATCAACCAACCAATTACCACAGGACACCTAGACATTGTTGCCAGCCAATCAAAATCAATGGAACGCGTCATCACCGTTATAAGTGAAAGAAACTAAATTTTCACGTCCATATATAAACAGATGGATGCCTTTCTCTCAGCATTTTCATTATTAAAATTAAAATAAAAACAAATAAATACTCTAATTGCGGGAAGAAAACTCGTGAAGGCCTTGGAAATTAACTACCATGGCTTACGTTGAGCGAGGTCTGGATCTTCTCTTTTCTAATTTCTGTTTTGCTTAATTCATTTCAGCTTTTAATTCGAGTGTTGTGTTTTCAATCTCCATTAATCTCTCAATATTTAGGGTTCAATCGATCCCAATTTTGTTCCTCTTTTAGGACGTTATATTTTTTCTATTTTAATACAATTCGGATTTCAGATTTTGTTTCGTTTGATTCGTTTTAGTAAGTTAGGGATTTCTTGCTTTGATCATCTGAAGTCCATGTTAAGGTTGACTAAGTAGGAGAATTGAAACTAATTGCAGAATTAACGCATTAATGATTAGATATGCCAATCGCCTAATTTTTAATTATTTCAAGATATCAGGTTGGCCAGTGGGATTATGGCAATTCGTGTTGGTAAACCTGGATTTGAGTTTGTGATTTGCCTTATTAGAGCTAAGTTTCCTTAGGACTTTATTGGTGCAATTCAAACAACACCTACAGTTGCTGTGTTTCATCATGTTATGTGTTCAAATCTCTGGTTGGTCGTTGCATTCTCATAACTATCCTTGTTTAGTGGGATTTCAAGAACGGTTCCATACGGCTTTGAGATTTTGAGTTGTATGTAGAAGTTATTTAGCGAAATGTATATGTTTATTTACAGAATTTGGAAATCATTCGAGAGATGTAATCAATTTTTGGTGCTTTTTGGATCTGTCCACGATGGCAGACCATTTAAGTTGGAAGATAATCTGCTATTCTCTGACACTGATAATATGGTATTCTTAAGAGGGACATATATTGGTCTTTCTGAATGACATATGTCTTCTGTCAGGATACATTTGAGTTCTGAATTATTTGGTGACTTTTTGCTGTACTACTTGCTTCTGGAAAATTTTGCAGCTTATTCTTCTGCCTAGTTAATATGCAGGTTTTATTCTTATTGTTGAGACAGTGGGTTGTATATGTCGTTTGCTTTGTTTTGTTTTTCACATGTATTTTTCTGTATGCGTTGTTTCTGTGGCATTATTTTTTTTCTGAAAATGAGACTCTGAACTTGTTTGCTTGTGTAATGATCTTTGAAAAGTTTCTTTTGGGCATAAACAGCAACCGGTAACATGTACACATCATGTTTTTTTCAGGTGTTGTGAAGTCCAAAAGATCAATATGGCGACTGAGAACTATCACTGATTTCTTCTGGGCTATTGTAAATTTTATAGGCGTGTTCTTTGCTACTATGTTCTCGGTAATGCCATGATCTTCTAATGATGCTTTACGATAGGCAATTTCTATCTTGGTACTCGTCTAGTGGGGATTAATTTTTTTCTCGTTGGCTTTCATTTCTTAGATGGAAAAGTCAAATGCTTACCGGAAAGGATCTGGTTCTAGCAAGAAATGGGATGGTGGCCCTGGAGGGCCTGGAAGTGGTCCATATGGTGGCGGCGGCGGCCCACGTGGTCCACCTCGAGGCTTAGATAATGTTCGAGGGATTGACCATAGTAAGTTTGTTTTTTATTTTTATATTTGATGTTCAATTGTTTGCTCATTCAGCTTTTTGATGGAAATTTTTGTTCTAAACTTCTAGGTTCCTTGCCTGCCTGTGGCTCCTGTTGTGGTTAATTGTAGAGATATCTCTGGTGCTTTTGGCAAGTGCTTTCAGTTGGAAATATTAAGTCATAATGTGTGTAGTTCAATAGATCTTTGTAGTGGGCTTGATGACATGAACAATTTGGGTTTATATTTATGGAAGGATCAACAAAGCTTATTTTGTTGACTGTTATAGTTGGCTTTAATATCTGTGTACACGGTACAAACAACTTGGTGAAATAATATGAGATTTCGCAGTCTGTCTGAGCCCAAATGTTTTGCATCTTTGGAATTCAATAATCGCCATTCAGGGCATTGTTTCTGTATTCAAAAGACCCCTCCCTTCCCTTGCATTCAGTATCAGTTTTATGTAGCTTAGGCCTAGTGGGCTTCTAACATGTTATGCTAACAAAAGTGTCAAAAGTTAGCTGAAACCTTTTAGTTGGTTTATTCAGCTAATGGTGGAAGTTTGATTTCCCAATCCCCATTCTAGGCCCAGCTAAGGCGGACTTACGTGAATAAATCCTAGACCGTGTGCCTGTGTTTGGGCTCACATTGTGTTTGGGCCAGCCTATAAAATTGGAACTTCACCAACTTGTCCTATGTGTATATAATATCATCTAATATTTAAAATTAAATTATCATTTTATATTGTTTAATAATATTTATTTATATACCACTTAATTTCAACAGGTTAATCATTGTTAAAATTCGTATTGAATTTTAGTTGGTGGGTCCTTAAACATTTTTTTTTCAATAGTTTTTAAACAAGTTACCCATATAAAATGTTAAGCACTTACGTTATTTAATACTTAGAATTCAACTCCAAGATTTTCAGCACTCAATTTCAGTTTTTGTGAGTGCTAATTTACTATATTTGAGAATTGAAATAATATATTTTTTTATTGTTGTTTTAAGGCAAATTTTGAAAGTCAAATGTTAAGAGTTGAAGTTTCAATTTTTAAATTCTAAAGTGAAACAATGATATCGTGTAAAGATGATATAGTTATTTAATGTTTAATTAATCTATTACTTTTTTTTTGAACTTTTAAACATTAGTATGAAGGGTAAATCACAACACCAAATAATGTAAAAAACATAGATAATATTTTGACCTAAATCTAAACAATGAACACTAAAAGTTTCTCGAAGTTAGTAGTTTTATTTTTATTTAAAAAAAACAAAAAAAAAGAAATGAAGCATCGTCAGGTTTTGATGGTAGTTGAACTCCCTATAACAGAAAAATGGAAACGCGGGGTAAGGTTATAGAGGGACGCATTATTGAAATAGGAGATGATGGTAAAGAACACAAAAAGTATAGAGGAAAGAAGGAATTATTGAAGGACCACTTTCACTTTGTCTATCATTTTCTGCTACTTTTGCCTCTTCCTATCATTGTACATGTTTATTTTCCTCTTTTTCGTTTTCCACTTGCATATAAGTTAGTATCTATTATGTTGCAAGTTAAGTAGACTTCAGTAATTTTAAGTACATTATTTTTTTAAAACATGCAACTTTAATGGCTTAATTGTATCAATTTTAAATTTTGATTGTCTCTATTAGGCATTATCTGTACCATTTGTTTAAAGATTTGTACCAAATGTCAGTAAATTAGAGGTTATGCTCATTAAAATTAATTGTTTTAGCATCCTTTAATTGTTTTAATAGTTTCATTTGTTCTATTAATATTTCATCAAACATTAAAGAAAATAATATTCCACAATTCAATTCCTCAAACTCTTAAATACTAACATATAAACAAAGAAAATAGTTTGTTTTGACTAAATAATAAGTATTAAATTAAAATACTAAATACTATATAAAAAATTGTTGCCGAATATTACCATCATGAGATAAAATTAAAAAGCAATCCATGCCCTTTAGATACTCTCTAGCATGCCAAACAATGATTGTTATTGCTTTGGGGATCAAAACTCTCACCACCGGTATTGGTTCAACTAAAACAGGACTGTTGGGATTCATTTAGTCCGTTTCATCTCAGGATCACCACCAATCCCACATGTAAATTAATACTTATATTCTGACCAATCTGCATCAATTGCATGTGCCAATCACGTGGGACTCTTCAACCCCACCCATTAGAGATAAATATAACACGTAATTCTTGAGTGTAAGGAAGATAAATAAAGTGGAAAAGAAAAAGAAAAAAAGAAAAGCAGCCAAAAAGATTACTTGATGCTAACAAATTCCCGCCAGATTGCATGCAGATGTAGGCTTGTAATTGGACTCTCTTTTGGGATGAAAGTCATCATTTCTTATTATTATTTGCTGCCCTTTGTGGTTAACAATAATCAACCTTTCTTTCTTTTTTGGTTTTTCTCTTATGCAAGTTATAAGCTTTAAAAAAATACAAGGATGTCACTTGATTTGTAGAGTGTCTTTTTTTGATGAAAAGTCATCAATTATTATTATTATTTGCTACCCTTTATGGTTACCCGTTATGGTTAACAATAATCAAGCTTTCTTTCCTTTTTTGGTTTTTCTCTTCTGCAAGTTATAAGCTTTTAAAAAAAAAAAAAAATACAAGGATGTCACTTGATTTGTAGAGTGTCTTTTTTTGATGAAAAGTCATCAATTATTATTATTATTTGCTACCCTTTATGGTTACCCGTTATGGTTAACAATAATCAAGCTTTCTTTCCTTTTTTGGTTTTTCTCTTCTGCAAGTTATTGATTTTGGTAGAGTGTCTTTTTTTGGAAATGAAAAGTCCATCAATTATTATTATTAATTTGCTACCCTTTATGGGTTATCCCGTTATGGGTTAAACAATAATCAAGCCCTTTCGTCTTTTCCTTTGTTTTGCGAGGTTTGGGTCACGCCGTATTATCGAGCAATTATAAGCTTTTTAAAAAAAAGAAAGAATACAAGGATGTCCACTTGAAAATATTGTAGATGTCCCTTTTCTAAAGGACCAGTATTGAAATTCCTAATCAATTTAACTAATCAATTTATGAAGAAAGAATCTGAATTTGGCGATGATGTAATTTATGCAAGATTTATTGTTTTTCTAAAAATTACTCTTAATATTGATGTTGGTAATTTCATTTGGAGTTGAAATCACAATGAATGATCATGGCGCAATTACTGCGAGTTGGAAGCCTAGTTGGGCCATTTTTGACTTTGGAGAAATGTTTTGGAATTATATAGAAAGTATTTATGTGAGTTGTGTTTGACTTGAGATTTGATTAATTACATGCCCGAGAAGTGCTACCTGACAATTTCTTTTTTAAAAACAGACTGAAACATTATGAAGTAATCGCAACACGTAACTGATATTAATAGTAAATCTATATTAATAATTATATTATTATTATAATATATTATATATATAATTAGTATCTATATCTAGACCCTATATATCTAAATCTTCGTATTATTCCTATATATCTATATCTATATATCTAGACCTATAATCTATATCTATACCTATATATCTAATAACTCTAAATATAACTCTAGACCTTATATCTTAATATCTAGAACCTATAATATAAATAGTTATAATTAGTTAATCGCTATAAATCTTACTATATATACTAATATCTAGACCCTATAGTATCTTGTATCTTCTAATACCCTATAATAATCTATTATCTATATATCTAGACCTATATATCTATATGTATAGCCTAATATCGTATAATGGTAAGTGATCTCTATCTCTATCCATGATAAACGTATTATATCTATAATCTAATATCTAATGGTTATATAATATATATATAACAGGTTAAGAAATAATAACCCTCGGTGAGTTTACATATAGAAGTATGTTACCGCTGTATTAAGAAAATAACAACAAGTATTAGAGTATCGACATAGTATAATGAAGCATTATTTTCGAGTGCCCCTGTGTTGTAAGAGGATGAAATTTCTTTAGAACTAATTGCAATACAATAATAATTTTTGCCCACCCTTATAACAGAGTGTTAAATTAATAAAAATATCGGACTGAGATCGAGGATGGATTGTGTTTGAACTGAAACCGTCATAACAGACGTGTATAATATATAGTATATATATCTTTATAAGTGATTTGAAGACTATATTGATATTATTGAAATTCTATTTAAAATAGATCTGAACCCGTATATAAATATACAGCATTATTATTAAATTTATTAATTAGCTACTATATGTCAATAAAATATAATATGAAAAATCAAAATTTAAATATTAATAAAAAAATAATGTAACAACTATTTTAATATTTAAAATATACAAATCAAATAAATACTATCTCTGTCTATAACTATGTTGTTTACATTAAGAATTTCACGTCCTTGGAGACAAGACGCCATTAAAATTTTAAAACAAGTTAATTAAGGATAAATTATTGAAGTAAATTGACTATATTCGCCGCTCATTTAGTACTAATTTGTTCTAAAAAAGAAAGGGTTATTAAAGATTGGAGTAAATAATTTATTAAGTTATGTATACAAAGGTAACCATTGAAAAAAAGACAATTATTATCTCAAAAACCACAAAGGTTGAATAAAGTATTTGGAAATCAGAAGGAGCTGATTTTTTCAACAGTGCCGGACGCGGGAAGTAGATTAGGGGAATTCAAGGATATAGGATGAAAAGAACAATAGTGAATTTAAGAATAGAACCTCAGACGGAGATCCACAGTCGAAAAAGGATAAACTTAGAGAAGCTTGATATTAAATTAGAATTCTTGAAAGCTAATTTAAGGGCCTCTTCGGTTACAAATAAACTAAAACATGACAATAAAGATAACTTCAAACTAAAACAAAAAGACCAAAATAAAAATAAAAACGTCAAGAAGAAATAAGGGTTATCATTGGTCACAATACTCCTTCTGGTGCCAATTGCTGGGGGATTCTTAAAGAATTTGGGGGTAATTTGGTTTAAAGATACACAGACCACTAACTGACCGGATTTTGGTTTTCTCATTGGCCAAATACAGCAGATTGCTCTTCGTTGCTGTGTGATGTTGCATTGCGCATAGCGGAGGCCCAGGCGGACTGCAAAAGATAAGAGGTTTCGGCACGGAGTTCACGATGATGAATAGGATATGAGGAGCAGCGACAGAGAGTAACGCTACCGGGGAGTTACAGATACGGAGAGTGGGATAAAAACAAAAATAATTAAATAGGAAAAATAAATTTAATAGCTTGACGTCCACACGCATACGACAAACCTTTAAAAATAGAGGGAGGCGGGTTCCCAATGTCTCATTGTTTTTTCACACATCAACTTCACAGAGTGCACTTGGAACGAGAAATGAG